GGGAGTTGATTATAATGCCTGCAGACAAAACCAGCATATTCTAGATGAGAACGGACGAAACTTGTAAACAAAATTTTTTAATGTATGTATATGTTACGACGCACAAACCCAAGAACCGAGTAAGATTTCGCTATAATGTAATTAATGTGACTTAAAACTGAGCTTACTATCAAAAATAATGCCTAAACAATAGCTTCGTTGACATTTTCCAGGGTATTATTTGATATACAATAAAATGTATTGCGAACATTTTTGATTCAAGCGAAAGATAATTTGAAACATTTCTTTAAGTTTAAAGTAAGGCCCGACTTCGTACACCATAACATTAACATCACACTGAGCTTTAATCATTGCGAACAACTTCTAATCATCCGTATATAGTAAAAAATTGGCGTAAGAAAAACAGTCGCTTATGTCATTAATGAAAAGGGCGAAAAGCGTTGGACCTAGAACGCTACCTTGGGGGACACCTTATGAAGCGCTAAAGGGCTCAGAAGATGCATTATCCACTGTGACCACACAGCGTCTGTTAGAAAGATACGATTTAATCAAATCTAAAAGACATGAACGAAAACCTAGACAGGAAAGTTTACTTATAAGAATTTTATGTGACACAGTGTCAAACACCTTATGAAAGTCCGTATATATGCAGTCGACCTGGTGACTACCAGAGAAAGAAGCAATGCAGTATTCTGTGAATACGGATAAGTTCGAAAATGTGGACCTATTGGAGACAAATCCATGTTGGATAGGAGAGATATGCGAATTAACGACGAAATATAGTTTGTCATAGAAAACACTCAAATAGTTTAGACAGTCGAAAGTTTTGAGGTGGGCCTATAATTTCGTACGTAATTTAACGGGGTAATGGAGGCCATTTTCCGTTCATCTATAAACTTCCCTAAAGCTAGAGACTTGTTGGACAGTTTTTCAATAACTAAGTAGAGAAACCATCTACATCGGTCTGTACAGAGGGCATAAGTGCAAATATTCCCTTGGCAATATCTTCGGAAGATAGCGTTAGTGAACCAAAATTGAGATTCCTATCAATGTGCGAATAAAAATTTGGCAAAAAATCAAGGTCGTCATAAACAAAGTTAGACTTAAAGAAGTCCGTCTAGTAAGCTTGAATTTTATGTAGAATTTGCTTCTTAAGTTCTTAATCTTCTTCAGCTCTTGTGTGCCAAGTTATTTTGTATGACAAACTTTTCCTAAGAGGAATATTTAAGAAGCGTATCTCCGGCAGTTTAGATTTAAAATTAGAACAATACGTCGAAATGTTTTCACCAGACAACAGGTCATCCCAGTTAATCCCAACTAAAGAGTTATTTAGCTGTGAGTAATAATGTAATGCGATGAAAGCATACAATTTGCAACCCTACAAATCACCTTGTATGAACACGAATTAAATCTAATCTAATACAAGAATTTACGATATTAAAAATACAACCTGTTCTATGTACAATAGCAGCTAGGTTTAAGAGGAGAGTGAAAAATAAATTGGCGGCATTCGCCCGCGTACCATTAAAACGAAAAGTTGAGTTTATTCTAAAACATAATTGGAGGTCCCACTAATAGCGGCGGAAATTCGCCCACATTCTTGGGTAGCCACAGGAGCACCACCGGAGCACCCAAATAGAGGCGTACAACAACTTCGTGCAAGAGCATAAGCGGGGCGCAACACGACAGCGGCAAGCAGCAGTAAACAAGCAGAGCGGAAGGGCTCCCGCCGGCAGCAACATAAAGGTACGCCTCCTTCAATACCGAGAAGTGGAATTAAATACCACTTCGACATGGCGACCGTGACAGAACCTGGCGAAATGCCGGTCCGCGGGCATAGCAAAAGCGCAAAGCCCAAGAAAGTATACAATGAAATGAATTGAATTGAATTAAAGATTTTTTTTACTAAAGTATCGGTGGTGGTAGCAGCTATTAAACAAAATTATTACAAAAAACTAAAAAAAAAAGATCAAAAACCACACAAAAAATAAAAAATAAATTTTCTTTCAAAACACTTTTAACTTGAACACGCATATACATATATGTACATACACGTACATGCATACTTATGTGGGAAAAACTTTAAATACAAACGGAAATGAACTCCAAATAGATTTTAAAATCATTCTAGTACAAAAACACTATGCTGGCGGAATAAACTAAAACACAAAAAAAAATTTTTAAACTGAAAATTACAAAAAAAATGTTTATTAAAAATATAAAGTGGTGGCGGTGCAGAACATTCAAAAATGAAACACTTGAAAATTACACAAGAAATAAATCAAAATACCTGAATACAAAACAGGAAAAATCCGTAAACGGTTATAAAAAAAAAATTCCAAAAAAAAGCGGTGGTCCCAAAATTTTAAACACTTTATAAAAAAAAAATGGCTTAAGAACAGAAAAGTTGAAATTAAAACAAGAAAAAAAAAATCAAAAAAAAAGCGGTGGTCCCAAATTTGTACAAAATAAAATTAAATAAATTATTGGTAATATGATATGATAGTTGGTGGACCGGTGGCAGCGGTAAAAACTAGAACTCAAAGCCTAAAATTAGAACTATGAAAACGCGAAAGTGCTGTACATACCACAGTTAGTGTACTTAAAAACGCGTCGTACATCGGTTATATAACGGCACACAAACCACGTCTTCTACCAACCACAGCTGTACCCTTAAACACGCCATGCAACCGTTGTATAACGGCATACGCACCACGCCATAAAGAAGCGTCGCTAAGCCTTGGCGCGACGCAAGACAGCGCATCGTTTTAGTATAGACTGCAGCGGGTGACAATCAGCGAAGAAAACAAGCAACAACAACAGCGAGTAGCAGATTCTTTTGGGCATGATGCACTACGTGCGAAACACCACAATATCTTTTTCGTAAATTCAATATGTAACAAAATTCCTGTAATTATGTATTTCATATATTTTTCATTATATTCACTCAAATTCTTGTTAAATATTTTTGCTCTATTCAAACTTTTGGATTGTCAAACATACTTTTAATACCTACTGTACTTATCATACCTACATACATACAAATATTAATACACATTTTTATCTATACACATATGTATATATTACTGCTTTTTCTTCTGGAATTTCAGCTTCAGTGGTACAGTGATGTACAAATATTAATATTTTTTTTTAAACGTAACTTCAACAATTTAAAGTTTTCACTAAAATTTTTCGTCAATTCTTTGGAACATTAGGCAAGAGTCAGATTTTGGAATTTTCATAAATTTTTCTTTTTTTTCAAATATTCGATAAAATTTATATACGAATTTTCGCTGTACTTTTATACTACAACTTTTAGAATTTCGTTTGAGATATGGTAAAATATTTCAACGATTATAATATCAATAAACGTTTTACTCAGTTTTCTATGCCGTGGTAGCCAAACTTCAAATATTACAACTTTATTCAAATAATTTTTTTTCAATAATACAATAGTTGGATAGTTTTTATAGATCTTTTGCTTTGCGTGTGTGCCAGATGTCAGATGTCGAACTTGTATTCAAAGATTTACAAGCAAAATTTTCAAAAGTTACCAAGCGTGTTCTTCAAAGCCGTCCACTTTCAACAAATCGGGAAAAAGTTGACGAATATAAGAAATCTTTAATCGAAACTTACAACGATATTTTAATTCAAGTAAAAAGTTCGGAACAACAAGGAAACAAACCAGCTTCTATAATTAAAAGTTTATCGCGGTGCAGAGAAAAATTACTTCAGTGTTTTCAAAAAATTGGGTGTAAAGTTTTAGTACCCGAAGATTCAGTTCTAATACAAGAAGATATTTTAAATTCTGAAGTAGATTCCGACGACGACTTAGCTGACGCTTGTTCAGCTGGCACACCAGAAGTTTCCACCGTTAAAAAATGTTGTTCTTTGCCTTCATTTAAAGATTTTTTACAAATTGAAAAAACGCCATGCGTAATGATTAGTTCACCAAATATTAATTTTATTGCATTCACAAGCGACATAAAAATGACAACACCTGAGCAAAAGAAATCTTTCATTAGCTTGTGTGCATCTATAATCCGAGAAAACTATAGTGGTGACCCCCTATCGCTCAACTGATTCATTGACAAAATCAATTTAATAGAAGAATTGTCGGATGAAAGTTTAACTACAACATTTATAGCATTTTTAAAGTCAAAACTCGAAGGCAAAGCGCGTGAGGTTTTACCCAGTCAAATAATTTCAGTGGATCAAGTAAAGGTTGCGCTACGCAGCAGAATCAAACCAGATAATTCCAAAGATGTCTCTGGCAAAATCGCGTCATTACATATTACTAATAACAACTATGCCGATTTTGCGAAGCGAGTAGAGGAATTATCTGATGCATTAGAGCGATCTTTAATTATTGAGGGTACGACAAAAGCGAAAGCCCACGAGTTAGCGGTAGAGCAGACAGTAAACGTTTGCAGGCTGAACAGTCGTTCAGAACTAGTAAAATCTATTTTAGCATCAACCACTTTTACGGATTCGAAAGATGTAGTCGCAAAGATGATTGTAGAACACAATAATGAAGTCAAAGAGCGGCAGGTGTTGTCTTTTAGGTCACGGGCAAATAGACCAAATAGTTTTCGAGGAGGTTTAGAGGGCACAACAACTATGACTAACAGAACAATAGTTTCAGATTTAATAACGGCAATACAAATATTTACAATAATGGCAATAACACAAGGCACAATAGTCAAAATAATTACAATAGAAGCAACAATTTTAACAGTAGACAAAATAACTACAGAAATGGCACTAGCAATCGTTCGGCAAGCAACAGAAACAGCTCTTCTCGTTCGAATTCGAGAAACACATCTAATGTTCGCTTTTTAAACGCCGATGCCCCTCAGGAGCGAACATTGGGGGAGCAGGAGCTAAGCAATTAAACGTAGTTACCCCTGAAAAATCAATCTACTGCTTAAACCTTAATTATTCAGATCTTATTGAATTAAATTTTACCGATTCTTACAAATTATTCTCGTTTCTCGTAGATTCACAAGCAGACATCTCTTTAATCAAGATTTCCAGTTAAGCAAGAAATTCCGCAATTAACAGTAGTGATACGATAAACATCACTGGTGTAACACCAGAAACGGTTACAACATTGGGAACCGTAAGTACAAACTTGGTTGTATCAAATTTTTTTTGTTCCGCATACTCTTCACGTTGTAGATGACAGTTTCAATATACCTTCTGACGGCATACTAGGTATTATTAACTACGCAAATGACAGTATAACTATCGGCATTGGGACAGAAAGCACAAAAATAGCAATTTTGCACGGTTCTAATACCAATTTAGTGATTCCTCGAAGATGTAAAGTTTTTCGTTTATTTAAATTGACTCATTCCAACAACCCTGTTTTTGTAGATTCTCACGAGTTTGTTCTGGTGTTTTTACATCAAAATGTGTCGTCGACACTAAAAATCCAATTTTAAAAGTAATAAATACGACGGACTAGGTAAAATACGTTCGAAACTATAACATCAAAGCTGAGGATATCAGTAACTATAATGTCTACAAATCAAACGAAACTTCCAAGGACACAAAACGTTTAGAGGAACTAAAGTCAATTTTACAAAAACAAATGCTAAAATATGCTAAAAACAAATTGCTCGAATTATGCTTACAATACGCCGATGTATTTGCCTTAAAAACAGACCTTATGACACTCTATAACTTTTATGAACAGAAACTTCGACTGAATGACAAGACTCACGTTTATATAAAAAATTATCGTTTGCCGTACTCACAACGCGAAGAAATAAATAAGCAAGTCGATACCCTGTTGCGAAACGACTTAATCGAACCAAGCTCTTCAAATTATAATAGTCCATTAATTTTAGTACGAAAAAAATACCCAGCAGGCCAAAAATCGTATCGCTTGTGTGTTTAATTTAGGGCAGTTAACAAAAAGCTTATCGCTGACAAATTTCCACCAGCGCGTGTAGACGATATCTTAGATAACCTTGGACGAGCAAAATACTTCTCGACTTTAGATCTGTTTTCTGATTTTCACCAAATCCCACTGCATAAAAACTCGCGAGATATAACATCTTTCAGCACTGACAAGGGAGCTTTTCGCTGGAAAGTTTTACCATTCGGTTTAAATGTAGCAACGAATTCTTTTTCTCGAATGATGTTAATAGCCTTTTCAGGCATTTCTCCAAATCAAGCTTTTTTGTACGTTGATGAAGTCATAGTTATAGGTTGTAGTGAGACTCACCATCTAAAAAATCTGGCTAAAGGGTTCGAAACATGTAGAAAATTTAATCTCAAGCTAAACCCAGCAAAATGCAATTTTCTTCGTTCTGAGGTAACATTTTTAGGGCACAAGTGCTCAGAAAAGGGACTGCTGCCAGACGATTCAAAAATTAAAGCAATAAAAAAGTATACAAAACCTTCAGATAAAAACGCTGTTCGTCGATTCGTTGCGTTTGCAAATTATTATAGACACTTCATACCTAACTCTGCGTCGCTGGCAGCACCTTTAAATGACTGAGTCGAAAAAATGTCGAATTCTTATAGGACAACGCTTGTGAAACTGCATTTCAACACTTAAAATCAGCCCTAATGTCTCCTAAACTTTTGCAATATCCTGATTTTTTAAAGAATTTTAATAACCGTAGATGCTTCTAAAAACGGGTGCGGTGCTATATTAAGCCAAAATCATAATGGCAACGACTTACCAGTATGCAACAGTACAAGTTTACGATAAATTTTCGTATAATTCTTCTAAAAATATACCGCGAATAGTATCGAATTTTGTATACGATAAAAATAACAAAATTTCAAATATTCAAATATGTGCACATTTAAAACACAAGAAACAAGAATTAATTAATTTTGCGAATGTTAAGGAAACAACTTGTTTAGACGAGTTACTTTTGAGGCTTGATGCTGAAGCCGGCAATCGCTACATTAAGAAAGTAGAATGGCTAAAAGATGATATATTTTTCCATAATTTCTCGATTTCTAATTTGAAAACCAGCGGTAATAACATTTTAAAATTTTTACAAATTATCTTAACAGAACCGGTAGAAAAAGTAACTGACGACGATAAAAAGTTAAAATTAATGACCATTTATCATAATGACCCTATAACAGGCGGACACTGCGGAATTAAAAAAACTATATGCAAAATTACGTACAAAATATCACTGGAAAAATATGGGTCGTGATGTATCCAAGTTTGTTAAAAATTGTTCAAAATGTTTATTAAACAAGGTTAAACCTAAAAACAAGGAAAATCTTGTTATAACGCCAACACCTTGCTACCAGAGTCGAGTAGCGGTAATAGGTTCGCAATTACCATTATATGCGATTTAACAAAGTATTTAGTAACAGTAGCTGTGCCAGATAAAAGCGCTAAAACGATTGAATCTGCCATTTTCGAAAGTTTTGTCTTAACTTACGGTGTAATGAATTCCATTAAATCCGACTTAGGCACCGAATTTAAAAACGAAATTTTCACTGAATTAACCAAACTTTTAAAGGTTAAACCCGATTTTTCAACCGCACACCATCATGAAACTGTGGATACTATCGAACGCAACCACAGAGTTTTTAATGAATACTTACGAGCATATTTAAATGAAACATTTTCCGATTGGGATGTTTATTTAAAATATTTTACATTTTTACACAACACAACAACTAACACAGTTTTCGATAATGAATTTTCCCCTTTTGAATTAATATTTGGGAAAAAGGCCACAGTGCCACATGATTTAAAAAAAGAACAAAACAAATTGACCCGATTTACAATGTAGAAAACTACGCGAAAGAAGTTAAATATAGAATGCAAAAGTCGCACGAAATTGCGAAAGAATTAATTAAAAAATTCGAAAGAAACTAATATACGATAAAACGGCGCGTCCGTTATCAATTAGCGTTAACGACAGGGCTCTTGTTAAAAAAGAACCCCGAAATAAGCATGAAAACATATACCAAGGGTCATGCGTTATAACAAAAATTGACGGTGTAAACGTCACAATTTTTGATGAAGCGAAAAACAAGGAAAAAACAGTACACAAAAATATAATTCATAAAATAAAACAAATTCTCTTATATATGTATGTATAATTGCCTTTAATTTTTCTTTTTATCATCAACTAAAATGAAAATTGTACAAAAACAAAAATAGTAATTTGAAATAAAAAATATGAAAACTACCTCATGAAAAAATTTATATATATACTTTTCCACAAAATTGTAATATAAGAATTTTTCCAAAATATGAAATAAACCAAAAACATTTTTCATACATTGTTAAAACTAAAAATTCAGGAAATCTAAATACAAATATTAAACCAAGCAATTTTTTAATTCCATTATTCACAACCAATTAATATGTATATATGTAAAATTCAATCAATTAGTCTCATAAGTCATTTACAAAAATAATTACTTAATTTTGTTTACAAATGCGATACTTTGCCAAATAAATTACTATTAATAAATAAAATGGGTAATACTAATTAAGTAAATACAAAAACTTTTATTTTAATACTTAATATTTACCAAAACTTAAAATTGATTTGAACGAACGAATGAAAGAAGGAGGAATATCCCTTAATCATTTCTTAAATTCGTTCCTTCAAAACAATTTAATTCTAAGTATAAATGTTGGGCAAGAAGAATATGGCAAACTTGATCACTTTGACAAATTTTTCTTTTTCCAAAGGAGGGTGATGTAATGCGATAAAAGCATACAATTTGCAACCCTACAAATCACCTTGTATGAACACGCCTTAAATCTAATCTAATACAAGAATTTACGATATTAAAAATACAACCCTGTTCTATGTACAATAGCAGCTAGGTTTACGAGAAACGTGAAAAATAAATTGGCGGCATTCGCCCGCGTACCATTAAAACGAAAAGTTGAGTTTATTCTAAAACATAATTGGAGGTCCCACTAATAGCGGCGGAAATTCGCCCACATTCTTGGGTAGCCACAGGAGCACCACCGGAGCACCCAAATACATTTGTACAACACCTTATTGCAAGAGCATAAGCAGGCGGAAGTAAGTGTTTAGTTGTGACGAAAAACTCAATTTAGAAACTGAAAGATCAAGTTCAACAGAATTAAATATCTAGTTTAGTTCGCGAAGGGCACGAGCAATTGGGCATTGAAAGCATAGCTGTTCGAAATATGGTGAAATAAAACGGAGGGCTGCTACGTAAGTATCTAGCCGGAGTGGAAAGGTTAATAAAGATCGGAGCAGTCGGTCTCCCCATTAATGATACTAAACATGAAGGACAGAGACAATATCACTATTCTAGTTTCCAGCGGCTTAAGATTAATTAGTCGCAATCGAGTCTCATAAGCAGGAATGGGACCAGAGAACTGAAGTGAAGAAAGAGCAAACTTTAGAAAAACTTTTTGCACACGTTCGATTCTATAAATGAAGGATTGGTAGTGGGGCCTCCAAATGAACGCAGGATATTCTAGTCTAGAACGAACGAAAGCAGTAAATAATAATTTCAAGGTATGCATAAGGATCTGAAAAGTTTGAGCTGTTTATTTTATGAAACCTAAGACGAAATACGATTTAGAGATAATAAAGTTTATATGATTTGTAAACGTAAAACGCGAATCGAAAACAACGCCTAGATTTTTCTTTTCCTCAAAATGTTGGAGAACAATATCAGAAATGCAGTAGCATGTAGGCAAAATATTAACTAATTTAACGAAGGTGATCTTAAAGCATTTATCGGTTAAAAATTGGTTAAATTATTAATATCGGCTTAAAGTCTATGCGAGTCAGTCGAGTTAGTTATGACAGCAAATATTTTTAGGTCATCGGCATATAAAAGTAATTTAATGAAGGTAAAACAGTTACTAACATCATTGATGAATAAGACGAAGACCAGGGGACCAAGACACTTCCCTGTGGAACTCCAGTGGATGCAGTGAAGGGCCTAGAGAAAACACCCAACAGTAATTATGAGAAATCGGTATAGATACAGTCTACATGGTTCCCAGCTGAAAACGCCGCAATACAGTATTCACTAAATAGGTAGAGATTAGAGACAGATGTTCTACCAGTAACAAAATCATGCTGCTGTGGAGAAAGTATACTCTTAGCAAAATACATTTTTTCATTT